CCCGTGTCCCCTGCATCGGCAGGCGGACTCTCAACCACTGCACCACCAGGGAAGCCCCAGATGGGGCCTTTTGCGACTGTTTTCTTTTAAAGGAGGCCCAGAAAAGTTGTCTGACCTTGCTCAAGGTCACTTAGTAAAGAAGATTAAATGCCCCACCTCCTCCCAGACTTAGGCAAACACAAACAGCTCTGATTAGCTCTGTAAGGAATGGGCGACAGGGACTGGGGTGCAGTGTGTGTATGTAGGCGTGTTGATAAGAGTTGTGACTAACAAGCCCTCCCTCCAGGTGGCTTGCCTGGGACCCCTCACCTGAGCACGGTAGGGTACAACTCCGACGTGAAAAGGTAGGCAGTGGTGAAGGCAGCTTCAGAAAAACCTTTCCCCATCACCGCCAGGGCGGTGCTCCAGGACATCACCTCTGGAGGAAAAGGGGTTCAGGCAGTGAGGAGGCCTTGCAGAACAGAGGTTCTCCCAGGATAGGAGGTGGAGCCTCCGGAGAGGGCCAGACTTAACTGGCCTTGAGTCGGGGCTTCCGGGAAAGGGCGGGGTGGCGGTGAGGGGCGGGTTTTTCTCGGCCAGAAGGCGGGGCCTACGGGAATGGGCGGGGGCTTGGGGCGGGGCTCACCGGAGGACACCAGCAGCCTGAAGCCCAAGGCGAGGGCGGCGCCGAGCAGCGTTCCTGCCAGCGTGAGGCGGCGTCCGGCGTGGCGCACCGACAGGTAGACCAGCAGCTTGGAGGGCAGCTCCACGGCCCCGAAGAGCAGCTGCGTCTGGTACACGTTCAGCCCCAGTCCCGACACATCCAGGCTCACGCCGTAATAGGAAAAGTTCACTCCAAACCTGAGGGGGGTCGCGATGCCACTCAGGGGTCCTCCTTCGCGCCCCCTTGTCCTCTCTTCTCAGGAGCCTTGGCCTTTTAGAGGGACCGTCTCCCCCACCTTCGGAGCCCGCTGCCCACGGTCTTCCGTGTCCCCATAATCCCTTCTGAGTGTGCAGTAGCACATGCCAGTAGCCCCAAGCACCTTTACCTAATCTTCACAGCAACCCTGTGAGATAGGAACTAATAGCGTCCGGTTGTACAGAAGAGGCACTGAGGCTCAGAGTGTTAAGTGACCTGTCAAAGGGCTCACAGTAAGGAGGTGGCAGAGCCTGAGTTTAACCCCACGTGTCTCTGATGCCTGCTCCATCCTGACCTCCCAGAGCCCCCTTCCCCACTAGAGGCGGATCCTCCTGCCATCCGCAGTTACAGTTTCACTTGTCCCTTGTCCTCTCACGCTCAGCACCAGGGGAGTGTGTCCCTCCCCCACCCCACCAGGCCCAGGTCAGCCCCCTCCTCACCACACCACCATGCAGCACAATGAGATGTGTCGCAGCCTTGGTGTCCGGAACAGGTCTAGGTATGAGGGTGTTCGGACCACCCGCTCCGCAGCAGCCACTTTGCTCAGAGCCTGTGGGGAAGGAGGAGAGTTTGTGGCATCGGAGGTGGCGATGTGGCCTGAACGAGGCACCTTGTTCTCCCTGGGTCTCCATCCTTCTCTTCTGCAGTAGTGGGGGAGGGGATGCACGTGGGAGCTGAGTAGGGTGGGTCCTGAGTCTAGGGTGTGGCCCACCAGGGCCAGTAGGACATCCTGAAGAGTTTGGAACACTCCACTGGGGGCCAGGAGTTTTTCTTGCACACAGAGTAGACCCCAGGAAGGGCACCCTTGACACAGGGCGCACACACACACACACACACACACACACACACACACACACACGTACTTGCATGCACTCACACATACATTCACTCTCACCTCCTGGCTCAGGCCGTCCTCACCCAGAGGCCGCCCATTGAGCCTGGCACAGCGGAGCAGGTACCTGTGGGCCTCTTCCACACGGCCCTGGGTCAGAAGCCAGCGTGCAGACTCAGGCACCCACCTGGGGGGCAGGAGGAGGCCCTTCAGTCAGAGCGCCCTAAGCCACATCTCCCTCCTGGGCACACCACAGGCTGTCAGCTTCCAGGCTCTTCCCCACACAGTCCCCTCAGCCTGGAATGTGTTCTCTTCCCAAGCCCTCCCCACCTGATGAACTGTTCATCCCTTAAGGCCCAATTTCAAAGCCACCTCTTCCCACTCTTCCTTGCCCAGGCCTAGGTCCTCCACAGCCTGGGAGTCCCTTCTCTACTCAACTGAATTGGTCTTGCTCCCAAAACCTCAGCCCCCAGGACCAGCTACCCACTTCACCCACAGGTGACAAGAGGGCATAGGATGAAAGAGAGACAGACATACAGACATACCCACAGGGATCATCCAAAACCAGTTCATTTGGGGGAGGCAATGAAATGCCCACCTCACCCAGCCCCCCACCTCCTGCTTGGACTCCCTACCCCTGTGCTGGCTTTGCCGCCACCCCCACCCCTCCAGGGCGCCAGCCTGTCTGTGCTTGGCTCTGTCTCTTCTGTCACTCATGTGTTCATCTCTATCTGTGCCTCTGAGGCTGCCTTTCGGTCCTGGTCTCTCACTGTCTCTCAGTGGTTCTGTCTCTGTCATTCCGTCTCTGTCTCTCTATATTTTGTTCCCTGTTTCTCTGCTTCACATGCCTGGTGCCATCTTCTTTGTATTGATCCCTATCTCTCTTTCTCTCTGTTGGTCACTGACAGTTTCTCTTCATCTCTCAGTCTGTCTTCGAATCTCAGCCTCTGATTAATTCTGTCTCCGGCCTCCTGTATCTCCCACTCCCCAGCTACCCCCAGGTCTCACCAGATGCTGAGGATGCCTGGGGCACAAGGCAGGGTGACAGCCAGCAGAAGCCATCGCCAGTCCCGTATCAGGTAGCCGACCAGTGCCAACAGCATCACACCCCCTGTCCAGAAGGTGCTGCTCAGGACACCTGCCACAGTACGGTGTCCCACGTCCAGCCACTCCAGCTCT